CTTTTAGGGAAGCCCCGTTTCCCCATTTGCAGTACAAATTGTCTCAGTGGGATGGACTCGACCTACCCTTGTTCCAGGGTTTTACGCAGACTGAAGCCTGGTCAATGAGAGGACCCAGTTTCCAGAGCAAATGGTTCAGTAATTAGCATGACTCAAGCAAAGCTGAGAAACAGCCTTGGGGATTTTGCTGGAGCTATTTGGGAAGAGGCACTCTCCTTGGGATTGTGAATGCTAAGAACCATAACAACTTGCAATTGCCAGTAGGTATACTTGTCACCACAGGAGGAGATGAGGAAAGTAGAGCCAACAAAGGAAACCAGCACAGAGATGGAGGTAAACAGTCCTTGATCTCACAAGGCCTGAATCTCCAGTTTCACCTGATTCCCCAGATATGTGAATTTTCTGACACGACGATAACATGTTTAGGGCTGAATTGGTGGGAGTAGGAAGGAGGTGAGGTATGTACATTTTATGTACAGCCCACTCAAGCCAGGTAGATTATCTGATTTATGGATGAACAGAAGTTACATCATGAAAATTGTAAAGAACAATTCACTGAACACATCTAAGTTTTTGAGGGCATTAATTGGAACTACACAGTAATCCACAGATTACCACAGGGCAATACAGTCCTCCTTGTCAATGAAACTTATGGTGAGGGACAACTCATGTGGCTCTGGATCCCAAGGCTGTCCAGCTGAGGCCCAGGAAGGGAAGGGAGAAAGCAGGGACAGAGCTTCCAACTTGAGTCCTGTTCTAATGTGACCAAAGAAAGTGAGAACATGTCTAAGAAAATGAAAACAATGAGAGACTTTTAAAAGATAACTGAAATAGTTAATTACAAATTAGTTTGAATGATGTTTGGTATTCTTATACTATCATTTTTATACTTTTGGGTGATATTATTACACTGTCTTTCCCAAAACCAGATGTAATTCAAAGTTAACACTAAATCAAGTTTTTTTTCTTTTTTTCTTCCTCTTTCTTCCCCCCCGCCTTTTTTTTTTTTTTACCATATTTTGCCTAGATATAACTGTGCTTTTTATATGAAGTTCTTCCCTCCCTAGTCCCCCCATTACTCTGCTAAGTGAGTGGTGGCTGTAGTTGGTCTGAGGACTCAGCACTATTTGGTAGAAACCACTTTCCTCTACTTAACTTTCTCACAGATACATGGGCTGCTGAGGGTATTTCCCACCACATCTCTCCAGAAGTGAAGCCAGATGAACTAGACTGATTCCCTGAATGATATGGAAATATTTTATAGTTGGTCCTTCATTACATCTTAAAATATGATTAAATTGAGAGAATTTAAAAGGAATTTACAAAAGTCTCTGACAAAACATATATCAAGAACAGCTTTATTGACAGCAAGCCAATAAGAGCAGTCAAATTTAGTTTATAGATAACCAAAAACATTTGAAATGCATAACATTAAAACTTCCAAGATTCATGTGGAGTATAAACATGTAATCAGGTTGAACATCAGGCATAAAAAGGACAAATACTGAAATGCAAAGGGCCGGAGTTCCCAGTAAAACTAACTTAGAGCAGATCCATTAACACTAAACTGCAGTCAGATTGCAAACTTGAGTCTCTGGAATCATCAGATAGCTCCTGGTTAAGTGATACTCAGAAGGAGAAAAGCACATTCAAGGAGGTTTCAAGGAGGCTGCGTAGGGAATAGCACCAGATGGAAGCAAGAGCAGAAAGAAGCCAAACCCTTTCCTCTATAAGCCAGAGAGCAGCATGGCCACAGTTCATCGGTAAACAAAAGGTGTGGAAGATACTCTTAAGTAACTTCTACTAACTAATGCTTAACCACTTTATTAAAAAAAAAAAAAAAAAATATATATATATATATGTATGATATATATACACATTCACGTACTAACTGATGCTTAGCCACACACGAAACATGACACACACACATATAAAGTGGGAAGGAGGAGGGGAGCTTTCTATATAGTGATTTATCGTGTGCCAGGCCTTTTATATGTGTTGTCCTCTTTAATCCTCATGACAACCTTATGAGAAAGGGATTTATTCCCATTACTGAAATCATATACAGATAAAGAAACTGAGATTCAGTAAGAGTAAGTAGCTTTTCAAGGTCCCATCACTGCTAAATGAGGGTGGCAGAATTCAAACTGAACTTTGAAAAGCTGAATTTGGTCTTATTTGCTGAAATTTTGGCCCCCAAATGAATTTCTTTTCATTCAAGCATTTGGCATACTTAAAAACTCAATAACTTCAGTTCTTTCAATGATATATAGTAACTTCCTAGAGTTAGGAGTATTTTGATACATCGTTTCCCATCTTTTATTTCCTGACCCCAACTCTCTCTCTCTTTCTCTCTCTCTCTCTCTCTCTCTCTCTCACACACACACACACACACTCTCCTGTAACCATAAAAATAGAATGACAGGACTATTGAGTTACAGAATAGTACCACTGGGGGTGTTTATCTGCCTTGCTCTGCTTCCCAATCTGGCCTATGAGGGTAACTACAGTGCCTTTAGTCTCCAGTGAAGGGTAAATTCACCACCACTCCAACTTTCCTATTCCACCTCATTTCTCTGTTTAATCCCTCTACCCCACCTTTTGACAGGGATGCTCTAGCACAGGGGCCAGAAAACATTTTCTGCAAAGAGCCAAATAGTACCTATTTTAGGCTTTTTGGGACATACAATCTTCTATGGATGACTGAATGTCCCTCTCCCCTGCAAGTCGTATGTTGAAGCCTAAACAACTGTATGATGGTATTAGGGGGTGGGGTCTTTGGGAGGGATTAGGTCATGAGGGTGGAGCCCTCATAAATGGGACCAGTGCCCTAATAAGGGGCTGTAGAGACCACCATTCTCCCCTTCTACCATGTGATGACATAGCGAGAAGGTGCCTCCTAATAACCAAGAAGCAGGCCCTCACCAGATCCCGAAGCTGCGGGCACCTTGATCTCAGATTTCCTAGCTCCCAAAACTGTGAGAAATAAATTTCTGTCATTTAGAAGCTGCCCAGTTAATGGTATTTTGTTATAGCCCAAAGATACAATCTCTGCTGCTGCTACTCAACTCCACCATTGCACACAAAAACAGCCAAAGACAACATGTAAATGAATGAGAGTGGCTAAGCTCCAAAAACTCTTATTTACAGAAATAGGTGTTCGGCCAGAGCTAGTCCATGAGTCCAAGCCATAGTTTGTCAATTCCCGCTCTAAACTATTAATACAGAATATTAAGGTGATGGAAAAGTTGAGCTCCTTTCCCTGCATTTTGTTCAGTCATTCCCCTACCCTGACCTCTTATACCCTTAAGTCTTCCCACCCACTGTGACCCCTTCAATGATTTTTTTTTTGTACCTTCTAAAATCTCTTCATGAGGATTCCTTTCACTCGTTTCCTGTGATTTCCACCATTGCTGGATTTACACTGCACCCACCTTTCATGACTGTGCTCTCCACTACCACTTCTTTAAACTCTATCCCTCTAGTTTTCCTCAATCATAAAACTAAAGTCTACTTAGAGGAAATTATAAGAAGTAACAGGGACAATGTGGAAGGGGCAGGAGTATGGGCTGGTCATGAAAGATAGAATTCAGGGGAGAAGAAGAAATCTGTGATTAATTCTGTGATTAATGATGTCTTTGCTACCATTTTCTATAGTTTTCTTTCCATACAACATGTAATATGCAATAGAGTAACAATAAAAAATTGACATTTGTACAGTGTTTTACTAAATATTTATTTGAACTTTCACTTTTGTGTTTCCAATCCCACACTGGTCTGTGGTCACCCATGTAACTTATGCTAATACATCATTGTGGTTTCATGCCTTGTCTACCTCCTTTAGGGCTCTGGAATAAATACCAACCAACATATAGAGAACAATATCAACAACAAAAAAATGTGGGCAAATATGAAGGACAGAGAAATGGCAACTCCTCCATGAAGGGAAGCTCCTGATCCTCAAGTGAGTCACTTAAGGATTGTCCTGTGAGCCATTCTCTATACCTGACAGGAAAGTATGTCCTGGTGTTTCACTCATTGCTTCAGTTTTTCTCCTTGACAGGGACCCTAAATATAATAACACATTGAACCCATCAACTTTTCAACCCTCAACATCTCTGGGGCTTTTTCTCAAAGCAACACAGCATAGCTTACAGAAAGCTGAATAATGTAGGGAAATGAAGTCTCCCTGATGTTTTGATTGTGGAAAACTAAGGATCCATTCAATGTCAAGAATAAAAAAAAGGGGACTTGATCAACAAATACAATCAGATTCTGACCCATTCTTTACTTCAGGGAAACTCCCAGGGAAATGGAAAATGATGGAAGATCTTGACAGCAGAGGTGTAACAATTATATACACCTATGACCAACTTCATCCATGTGAGCATAACTTAGGATCTGCTATAAATATAATTAGTTATGTTCATCACATTAGACAGCAGCTTTCAGAGGGAGGAAGGGAATCCTAAGGAGCTTTTAACTCTTAACCTTTTCGGTTTTTATGGCTAACATAAAACAAAGGACATTCCCTGGAGAAACAGCACCCTCTGAATATCAATCTCTACTTGGGATTCAAAGAGTAACAAACAACAATGCTGTGTCTTCCTGATAATGATATAAGCCCTAAGACTAACCTACCAAATAAGAATTTCCTTACAAGGTGAGAGGCTACAACAAAGCTCTGACATGACCAAGAGAGGGGAGAATTGGATTTTACAATGTTTATACCGATACCCACTCTCAGGGATTTCTTGAATATCCATGAATAGGTATTTGGGAGGTCAAGGATTAAAATTTGGGAATCTCTGATTAGACGTTTTCATAGTTATCACATTACTAGCATAAGGGAGTCTATGGCTCAAAACTATGTATTATGTAAATAAAATTATATGTATGGAATTGATCCTCAAATGCATATTATGGGTCTTCCTCCTAGACACTCTGGTATTTAATATACTGATAAAACCAACTTACATTTCTTCACATTCAGTAATTCTTTAGGGTTGCTCTTCAGTGTGAATTCTTTGATGTCTGATGAGGGATGAACTGCACTTAAAGCTTTTCCCACATTCACTACATCTAAAGGGTTTCTCTCCAGTATGAGTTCTCTGATGTTGAATAAGAGCTGATGAATGAATGAAGGCTTTTCCACATTCACCACATTTGTAGGGTTTCTTTCCAATGTGAATTCTTTGATGTTTAGCAAAATTTGAGCTCCGGCTAAAGGTTTTCCCACATTCGTTACACTCATAGGGTTTCTCTCCAGTATGAATTCTCTGATGCTGAACAAGATGTGTGCTCTGACTAAAAGTTTTTCCACATTCACTACATTCATATGGCTTTTCTCCAGTATGAACTCTCTGGTGCTTAGTTAGGGATGAGCAATGGCTAAAGGCTTTTCCACATTCTTGACATTTATAGGGTTTCTCTCCAGTATGAGTTCTTTGATGTTTAATGAGTGCTGATGAATGAATGAAAGCTTTATCACATTCATTACATTCATAAGGCTTCACTCCAGTATGAATCAACTGATGCTGCACAAGATGTGTACTTCGATTAAAACCCTTCCCACATTCACTGCATTCGTAAGGTCTCTCTCCAATGTGAATTCTCTGATGTATTGCAAGGGATGAGCTTTCTGTGAAGGTTTTCTTGCATTCACTACACTCAAAGAGAATTCTAGTATGAGTTCTCTGATGTTTAGTCAAATTAGCTCTGTGGCTAAAAGATTTCCCACATTCATCGCAGGTATAGGGTTTCTCTCCAGTATGGACTCTCTGGTGTCGAATAAGCACTGAATGGTAGGTGAAGAGTTCACCACAATCATTACATTTATGAGGTTTTTTCTCTTTATAAGTTCTCTGCTTTTTCATTAAGTTTGACTTCTGTTTCAATCTTTTTTCAAGTGTATGAAAGGCATAGGATCCTTTGGGACCTCTGTCATCAGTGATAAGGACAGACTTCTGACTGAAGTTTTTCCAGTATATATCATGCTCATGATCTCTTTCTGCAGGGAGTGAATTCATGTGGGCAAACATTTCTCTCAAATGTCTCTCCTGATTTCCCTGCTGATCCTCTAACCAATTTTCACATTCAATTGCTGTTTCCAAGTTGGAGTCATAGACACTACTCCTTGTCAGTCTGTCTATTATTGCAACCTGGCATGACTCTTCTTTGGAAAAATCTTGCACCGAAGTTGAATCCTTGCTCTCAGGTCTAGTCTCCACGTCTGAAAGACATTGGAAATGCAAATTTCCTTTGTTTTCTGTGCTCAACAAAAAGGCAGTTCTGTAATAGGTAAGAGTTAATGAATGTGAAAAGCATGCCTTCAAGGAGCAAATTGATTTAACTCTTATTAGATGATTTGCAAAGATGGAGGCAAATAAATGCTCTGTATATGTAGAGAAAATAAGTACACCCTATCCAGGAGAGACAGAAGAGGGGAAAAATGACCAGAAATATAAGAGAAGAAGATATGCAGATGAAGCAATATGTCAGTGGATGAGCAGGCAATAAATACACTAGACCAGAATGGTGAGAAGCAACTTTTTATGCAATATCTACTGTTGTAATAAATATTCAGGCAATTATCAACTAGGTGTAGGGTACAGTTATGATTTCTAAGTTTCCACCCAGCTTTCCATCCTATTCACATCCAAATATGCATTGTATTGGTAATTTTTAATCTTCTTATCAATGCTTTTACAGTATGTCCCTGATCTAAAATTTATGATCTCCCAAGGATATAACGACAAATCTATTAAATGATATATGCACAAGGCTATTCATTGCAATGCTGAAGTAGCAAAAGACTGCTAACGTCTCAAATATTGTGCCATAGAGAAATGATTGAATATATAGTGCATATACACAAGGGATTACTATAAAACATTTTAAAAAATGAGAAAGATCTCTATATGTTGCTATAAAGTGATCATCAGGATATATTAAGTTAAAAAAAAAGGCAAGGCATAAAAGAGCACACATAGTTCACTACTTTTTAGTGCATCAGAAAGAGGAGAATACAAATAAATATATACTACTTGGTTATATAAGACCAAAAAAGGATAAATGAAAAATTAATAAAAATGTTTACCTATAGGGAAAATATCAGAACAGAGGAGAGTGGGCAGGGATGGGGACTAAATCTCTTTAAATATACCTAATATATTGAAATTTTTACATACAATATAAAACTATTTTATAAAGATAAAGTAATTTAAACAGTGAAATAGAAGAGCAAGTTCAGAAATAAATTCAGGTATATATAAGAATTAGGTAACATGAAGCTGATCTTTCAGTCAGTGAACAAAAGATAGATTTGTTTTTCCAACAAATGGTGCCATGACAACTGATTAACCATTTAGAAGAAAATTAAGTTAGATGTGTCCCTCATTTCATACACTCAAATAAATTCTATTCATTTACCTATCTACTCATCTTCTATCCATTTTATTCAACCAATACTTATTGAATGTCTACATATTCTAGGCTCTGTGCTAGTCCCTTGGGAAAAACATAGTCACTGCACATGGAGGAAGACAGAATTTAATCTAACATTCATAAATAAATATAAAACTGCACCTGTTGGAAGTACTGAGAAATAAAAGGCAAATGAAGCTATGAAAAAATATAAGAGGGGGAATAAGAAGGAGAGGCTTCCCCGAGGAAGTAAATCACTGAGTGGAATAAAATCAGTGCAGGAGTTGGGGCTTGAGTGAGTGTTTCAGGTGATAAGTACAAAAGCACTGATGTGAGTATTCCAGGTGGAGGTAAGAGGAATATTCCAGAAAAGCACAGTAGTTGAGAATACAGACTCTGGAATCAGAACACATGAGTCTGAATTGCAGGTCTGCCACTTATATACTAGCTTTGTTATTTGGGCAAGTTATTCAACCTCTCTACTTCAGTTTCCTTATGTGTAAGATATGGCAATAACAGCACCCACCTCACAAGGAATAATTAATACCTACCTTGTGAGCATTAAATAAAAATATTTATGAAGCACTTGAAACTCTGACATAGTACAAATACTACATGTGTTTGTTAAATAAATAAAACATAAACTGATAATAAGCTTGGTGTAGGTAGGTAGAGGTAGAGGTCTTGATCTATAGTCTGTGAACCCCTGGGAAACTGCAAGTTCAAGACTGCTTTCAAAATAATTTGGATGTTATTTGCCTTGTTCATTATCTTGACATTTTCACTGATGTTGCAAAAATAATGGTGGTAAAACTGCTTACAACTTAGCATAAATCAAGACAAATGATGCCAAACTTACTAGTAGTCATTGTATTCTTCCCCACCATGTATTCTCAGTTTAAAAAAAGAAAAAGCCAATTTCACTTAAAAATGTCTAAGAAGACAGTAAATATTATTAATTTCATTAAATTTCAAACTCTTGAATATATGCCTTTTTGATATTCTGGGTTGATAAAATAGGAAATATTCTTAAGGCACTTCTGTTCATACCAAAGTACAATGGTTGTCTTGAGGAAAACGACCATGTGATCATTTGCCCTGTGAGGTGAAGTAGCCACTTTTTCCATGGACCACCATTTTTATGTGAAAGAATGACTGAAAGACAAATTATGTTACCCAAGTTGAGTATCTGGCAGATAACTTCTCGAAAATGAACAAAGTGAGCTTGTCATTTCAAGAAAAACAAATGACAATATTCGATAAAATATGAGCTTTTAGGCAGAAATTATTTTAATACAAGGTTTAGAATACTTTTATCTACCCAGAGCTTGATAGATTCCTAAAACTTAAAAGACTTTCTCATAAGGTAAGTTGGGATAGTAAAAATTGTGATTTTTAAAAATATTGTGCAATGTCAAGTATCAATATGGAAGATCTGTATAACTTAGTGAACCAATATTTACCAAAAGACCAACAGATTTTAATGTAACAGAGTATGAAAAATTTATGGATATGGTTTCAGATTCCACATTGTACTTCATCTTTAAGAAATTACTATTTGTTCAGTTTTGAAGGTGTTTCAAAGAATAGCCATAATTATCTGAAAAGGCTATAAAATATTCCTTCCTTTTCCAATTTATATCTGTGTAATGCTGGATTTTCTTCATACACTTCAACCAAACAACATACCACGACAAACTGCATTGAGAAGCAGGTGTGAGAATATAGCTATTTTCTATTAAGCCATTATTAAGTAATACATTAATGAGATTTGCAAAAGTGTAAAGTAATGCCATTCTCCTAACGTTTTTTGTTCCAGAAAATAGTATTTTTTCTTAAAAATTATACTGTGCTAAGATGTAATAAGTTTACAGTTGTTAATTTTAAATGAATTAACTAAAAGCTTAAATTTTTTTATCAGTTTTAATTTCTAATACAGTAAATCCTGGTAGTCATACCCCACATAAACAAAACCTCTTTAAGGTCTTCAATAATTTTTAGAGTTACATGAGGTCTTTTGATGCCAAAACATTCAAGAACTGCTATAATAGAGCACAGAAATGGAGGGAGAGTAGCTGTGAAATAAGGTTGGAATAATGAGTAAAAGCCAGATTTTGCAAGATTTTGTAGGCCTCAAAGATTTTGTTATCTTAAAGGCAATGAGAAGCCATTGAAATGTTTAAAGCAAAAAGATGACACAACTGGACTTGATTTTGAAAACATCATTCTTGGTACAATGTAAACAATGGAGTATATGGGGGCAAAGGTGGACTCAGGGAGGTTATCATAGTAGTCCAGGCAAACAAAAGGGATATGAAGCAATGTTAACAGTGAAGAAATACTTTGAATATAAGTAGGTAAATACAATAATGAATTGGATAAAGGCGAGAGAGAAAAATGTAAAGACTGTTCATAGATTTCTGGCATGTACAATTTGATAAGACAGTGAGTATCATTAAAACAAGTATCAGAAAAGGCTCCTATTGGGGGATGGGGAATTTGGACATATTTTAGGCATTCGGTTCAGTCAGTTTTAGTATGGTATATTGAAACGTCTTTGACATTTGCAAATGGAGACATCAAATAGTTACACAGATGTTCAGAACAGAAGCTCTGAGAAGAGGTCTAGGATGGAAACACAAATTTGGCTCATCTGGATAGAAGGCAATTGGTTGTGGGAATTAGACTACCTAAGGAGAAAGTAGAGGCTGCCAACAGGTGACCAGTTGGCCAAATCTTACCTGAGACAAGTTTTCTATAGCCCACACTGTTTATATAAATTTTTAAAATTACCTGCCAACATTTAAAAATAGGGAGATTTCACACAGAAATGCAAATTTAGGGTTTCTCTTGAAAAAACATGGAAGCATACCGAATGACAACAACCGGTTAGAGCAGGGGTTGGCAACTACAGCCTGCTGCCTATTTTTCTAAATAAAGTTTTACTGGAATACAGCCACACCTGTTCATGTATGTATTGTGTAAGGCTGCTTTCACACCACCATGGCATATTGAGTAGTTGCAAAGAGACCATATGTCACACAAAGCCTAATTATTTACTACCTAGGTCTTTGCACAAAAAGTTTGACAGCCTTGAGCTAGAGCTAGTGGAGTGATGGCCACTCCTTTCAGCTTCTTCAGGCCTGTGCTCCTCTGGTTTGCCAGTTCCCACCCTGTTTGCTTCACTTGATTATGTCACCTCCTGGCCCATGTAAGCCCTCAAGTTTATGATTCCAAGTATACAAAGGGAAGGAAGATTAAATTCAAATCTTGAGCAATTCAAACATTTAATTATTCAAAAAAGAAGGCGGCCGGGCGCGGTGGCTCACGCCTGTAATCCTAGCTCTCTGGGAGGCCGAGGCGGGCGGATTGTTTGAGCTCAGGAGTTCGAAACCACCCTGAG